TCTCTCTCTAGTTGACTTTAAAACAAAGCTCTTTGTGACACTTAGCTACCCCTAGAATAAAAAAGGTGTTTTCTATCCATGCCACTTTGAGGAAATGTTGCACGAATCATGTATTCATAAATAAGGACGATTAAGCATGAAGCACCCCTGCCCTTCCTCTCAATAAGCTAATTCTATTACCCAGACTATAAATGTTTAAGCATTGATTCAATAATGATATGTCTTCTGTAGTCATAGTGATGTAACAGGCTACTGGCCTGATTTGCTGATAGGAAACATACAATAAAATAAGAAATATTATAACACATTCCAATCAAGTCTTTTCAAGCAAAAAAATCTTTTTGTTTTCTTCAAAAGTTGATGATAACTAAAGAAAAACAGGTGTGTCCTTGTCGCATTCTTAGAGATTTTTATTGGCTTTATGTTTGCATTGTAAGCCAGCAATTTTACTTAGTACTTGTAAACTACAGAAAACGAGGAAATAATATTGTTGCTCCCATCACAGAATACGCATTTGGAGAGACAAATAAACGTAACTGGTATTTTTCAAATAAATCAAGAATTCCACGGCAAAACGCATTACGCGCGAAATATGGGTATGTTCAGAGCACCCTGTCCGCTTTAATAATGTTGTGATAAAAAATGTCGTGGAAATATCCCCCATTCCTACCCTTCTTAAAATGCATTGTATCTCTCGACATTAATTAAGAATGTTGAAATTGCGTTTCGTTCAGTTTTGCTTTCAGAGAACAAGCAAGTTTTTTCGAAGGGATTTTTTATCTCGATTTTTCTCAATTTTGTAGTAAATGGATGTAGTACGTTTTGCCATAGAAGAACCCTTCGAATATTATAGCCGCGTCAGGCACAACTTTGGCCACTCTGCTAGGCTACCTTCCCACTGCGGGACAGCTGTTTCGTGTTATCTCGGGCCTGAGACCAACATAGAGCCATGGGAATACAGGGTAAGCTTTTCTTCTATGCATTGTTAAGTTAACACAGGCACACACAAACACACACACACACACATACACACACACACTCACAC